TAAATCAACTTTTTTTCTATCTCAATTTTCCCTTTATTTCATAACAAAGAGTTTAAAAGAGGCAATATTACACCTAGAAAATGGCAAGAGAATGCTATTACGGTCACCACAAAACTATTGTAATGTTAAAATATTCATAAAGAAACTAAAATATAACAAAATGTATAATCTAACATAAGAATCAAGAAATATATTTTTTTTTCCTCCTTTAGCATTTAGGATCCATAGGCTTTACCTTATATGATAAAAATAACTCATAAAATAAAACTTAAAATATTATGTCATAACAGAGGCATGACACAACTGGAAAACAGAAAGAGAAAGCTAGAAGATAATATAACATAAATAAATAACTTATTGGCAATTAAAAAAAAAATATTAATAATAAGTTATTTTATTACTATATTCAAATTTATAATAAAAAATAAGAACTATTCAAGAATCTATATCCTTAGTTTTTTTCAATCTAATTGAGCTTCACGCTTTGTGACAGAGAAATCAAACCACTTATTTTATAGATGTAAAATAAATAAATTACAATTTGAAAAATATTCTACTATTTGATTTCTTTGTTCACATTTATAATAAAAAATAAAACTATTTTAGAATTTAAATCCTTTGTTTTTTCAATCTAATTGAGTTTCACGTTATGGGAGAGAGAGAACAAACCACTTCTTTTCTTTATGTACAAAAATCATATTATAATTTGAAAAATATACTGCATAGAGACAGAGATAGACATTGTACCTTCTACTTTTCTATTAGAAAAATATTTCTGAGCTAAAAATTCCATGTAAGAGATTATTAATAAAGAAATGAACTTGAGAGAGAAATATATAAATATATTATTTTCTCATAGGATAAAGTAGACATGATAGGCTATTGGGTTCGGGCTGAGGGTTTATGGTGAGAGAGGATAGAAGAGGTTTCTCCTAAAAAGATATTTTGAAAAGGAGAGATGAGAGAGAGGGATTTAAAGGAGAAAGAGATGAGTGAAATATGAGAAATACTATAGGAGGCATTAATTGCAATTAATGGCAAGTAGTGCAAGTAAAAAATGAGTTAACGTGGTAGGAAGAGAGAAATAATGGTTTATTTATTATATGTTATTTGAAGTTACTGTAAGATAGAAAATGGTAATAGGGTGAGAGAGAAGAGAGAAACTGGTGTGGGGCCAAGGAGGGGAGGGGGAGGGGGGGGTGAGATTTATTAAGGAAATGAAAAAATGAGACACATGGCACAAAAAAAAAGGGAAGAGAAAGATGAAATCTTGTAGGTAAAGTGAGCGATTTAATAAGGAAGAGAAAAAATGGGACATGTGGCACAAAAAATAAAGGATGTATTCTTCTCGCTTAATATATAATAGATAGATATAAAGAAATGGATTTTGTTTTGTTATTGGTTTGCACTTTAGAGTTTTTCAATTATGGTGAATGCCTAAGACCATCAAATGTGACAATTGAGGCGGTTTTTGGGCTGCTTGCTTTTAAGTTTTCAGGTTCAATTCAGAACGAGGCAAAGTTTAACTCAAACCTGTGGATTTGGTTCAACTCACAAAGAGAATCTTTATTCAATGGCTCTTTTTTTTGGACAAAAGAAGAATATACAATCAAGCTATAGTTATGGTTTAGGTTAGTGGAAATCAATTCTATGATTAACATGTGCTTTGTCAGATATGTAACAGTGTTAGGACATCATGCACACATCGCATATGTGCATGACATCCATTGTCGCATAAGTTTCATGACATTGCTTTTTTTTGTGATATCCGTCTTTAAGTATTGTATTATTTGCATATACAAATGTCTATAGAATTTGATCATGTATCAACTTCCTATTTTTGTGTCTTATTATTCATTTTAAGTTTTATAAGGAAATTGTAGCGCTAACTTTCCTCTCTCTCTCTCTCTCTCTCTTCTCTCTCTCTCTCTCTTACTACGTATTTAA